TAATCTTTCACAATTTTTTGTGAAGTAGAAACTGCTCCTTATAACATAAATTATGTGTATTTTCTTCCGTCTATGCATATTAATACGATTACAAATGCTTTCATTGTATTCGCGAGCATGTAATTAGTATCTAATACTATATTTGAATTTTTCTTGTTAAAAATTTCGTAAAATATGACCAGATTGGTAAAACCAATTTTTATGCTGAAAAAGTAAACCCACCAGCACCACCCATTAAAATACCAGAAAGCTTACACTGCTCTATCTTCAAAATAACTACTTTCTTCGGTTATAAAATGGCTGATAAGCTTTAAGTGCAAAATACTTAATCAAGGAAGAGTGCACATATAGTTTTCGTAAGATTATAATCAATGCTTTGCAGCATTTAATACGTGTGTAGAAATTGAGCAATCCCAAGAAACTAGCAAACAATATAAAAATCCATGATAAATAATTTCAAAATAATAAATTAACAATAGCATAAACGAACTTTCTTCAGACTAAATAGTTATAAAGTGAATGTTTCATAAGACAACAGAACATATTTTTTGGAGGCAGTATCTCTATTATAAGTATCAAACAATTCTACAATTTTTTGAGTAACGGTACCATGACTTTTAATATAGTAAAAGTCTAGTATCTATAACCAGGTAGTTTGTTTCTTTTCCATCATAAAATGAATCTTCTTGTAGGATATAATGTGATGATAACAGTATCAAAGCTGAACCATATATTATCTTAGGTTCTATGTACATCAGTGTTGATTTTATTTTTATATTACAACTTCACTATATTCTCTATCCTCTATAAGTTTGTTACTTTGCTCTATCACATGGTTGCGAAAATGCTAATAGTGCATAGCAGTTCACATTAACTTTTATTTATTGTATAAACTTATGCTTATTGAAATGTCCTATACTTTGATCTTTAATAGCGACGTATAAATAATCAATTCGAATAACGTTAAAAATCACGTTTATTATGAATCATATTAAATAATAATATACAGTGATATGTAGTTTGAAGTACAACTAAAGCTGAAGTGATTAGAGAAACACTGTACTAACTTGTCAAAGAAAAAACTTCGAAAAATTTTATTTCTTTATGTATGTGAAGTCACACCTCCTTTTTAGTTGTAGAACAAATTATATTTCACACTAAGAGTATACATATAAAACATATATTAATTTATATCCATTAGTAAGTAAAGGGTGCACATATAGAGATCTTTTTCTTCCAACTTGGCTGAATCTTGTGTATGAAGAGCAGTTGATACTGATGACACTATAGTTTCATTACTTTTTAAATAATGTTTAAACAATTTTCCCTTCGTTTAGTACAGTAATATTAGTCAAATTAAATGAATCATATATTGTCCGAAAAAAACAATGACTGGCAAAAATCTATCATAATACACAAAGGGAGGTAATAAATAGTCGACAAAATAATGAAGAATTGATTGATTGCATGCAATTTGCATGTTGTCATTAAACAAAGCATGCGAAACAGTTAGGAATATAACGGACGGTTTTGACGTCACAGAGACGAAACCAGATGCAGCTCTTAAAAAGGATGATGCTAAGGAAGACAAAGAAAATGGCAGGATTGTGTTGCCCACAACACCAACCACTACTGTGGTGAGTACATTCCCATTCTAAACAAAAGTCATTAGGTATTCAATAATAATTTAATCTATTTTCTACCTAGTCAAAATTATAGAGATTCAAATTTCTGCCATGTCTCCAGCTTTTGCCTGAAATACCCTTAGGCACTTTACAACTTTAACTTTTGGAATCTTATCTTCGACTGAATTCTTTTAAATATGCACAAGGTTATATCTTTAATAACACTTACATCTTAACAAGTTATCCAAATTAAATACAATTTATAATTGTAGTACAAATTTATACTGCAGGACATTTTGTGAAGTAGGAAATTCTAATTTAGTGAATTATAACTGTGTTGTGTGCATATACTTATACATATATTGATCCCCAAAATTAAATAATTCAATTTACTGATTAACTTCTTAAAGTTACATGCCCACACAATTTAATGCTCTTATATGTTTGGAAACAATAAATAATTTCNTGGTACAAATTTATACTGCAGGACATTTTGTGAAGTAGGAAATTCTAATTTAGTGAATTATAACTGTGTTGTGTGCATATACTTATACATATATTGATCCCCAAAATTAAATAATTCAATTTACTGATTAACTTCTTAAAGTTACATGCCCACACAATTTAATGCTCTTATATGTTTGGAAACAATAAATAATTTC